ATTGAAATCATGTAACTGAATAAATATGTACTTCAAACATGTTCGAAACAATTACCAACATACCTGGGGGAGAGAGAATGAGAGTCGCCTAGGGATAGGTGGCGAAACAAAAATCAACGCAATGTTTTATTTGCAGCATCAGTGGCAGGTAGGTCGGTCGGTCGGTCGGTTGGTTGGTCGAGGCACACTGACATAATTTCCACTAACCTTTTGACCAAATGTACAAATATGTACCGTTCGCAGAACAAAAGCATTCGCACACACGAATAACGCAAATATGTAAATGAACTATTAGCTGGTGAAAGTTTAACTTTTGCTGATGCCATGACCGAACATGCTGTGTTGCAGCAATTATTATTTGTGGGGGGATGTATGAATGGAAGGAGAGGTAATCTCCCAGTCGGACATAATTTTTAACAGGGGAAATTATAGTAATACAATGTGTTGAAGATAATTGGTAAAGGATATTGGTGGTCGGAAATTGTGTTTGGGTCACACTTGGTCCGAAGGGTCAGATAAGGCTGGGTTTTGGAAATTCGTGCTAGAACGGTACGAAAAGTTTAATATGTACTAAATATAGTACCCTTTGTATTTGAGGAAGTAATAGAGCTAGAACTCTTAAATTTGAAATGGGGGTCACTGATGGAGCGTGTGAAATGTACTAGATTTGGTACCATTTCGTATTATATGAAAGGTTAGAATTAAAAACTTGAAATTTGGAACGGGAATCTTGGTTAAGGAGTGGAGTCGATTTCAGAAGGTAGTTTTGGAAGTGTATACTCATGTATACGAAAAGCACTCAACGTTACTAAATGCAGTACAATTTGAATTTGGAGGAACGGATGGAGCTGGAATCCTGAAATTTGAAATAACCATTACTGGCGGAGTGTAGGGTTGGGATATGGAGGAAATTTTGGAAATTTGTACTAGTGTGTACGAAAAGTACTAAATGATACTAAATTTGGTACAATTTCGTATTTGGTGATTCGATAGAGCTGAAATTTTAAAATTTAGAAACAATCAATACCATTGCATTCTGAGGAATATAGGTAGTTTTGGAAATTCGTACTTATATGTACTAATGGTACTAAATTTGCTTCAATTAAAATTATGGGACAACCAATAGAGTTGGAACCCTGAAATTTGGAAATAAGATTTCTGATGATAGTTATGAAAATCTGAACTAATTTGGATTTGGGTGACCCAATAGAGTTGGTACCCTTAAAATTTGGAAAAAAAAAGAATACTCTCGGAGTGTAGGATTGGGATTTGTAGGTTGTTTTCGAAATTTGTACTTGTGTGTACTAAATAAAGTACAATTTGTATTTGGATGAACCAACAGGGGTGTGGAATACTAACATTTTGAACTGGGGTTACTGTGGGAGTGTAGTATTGGGGTATGTAGGAAACTTTGAAAATTTTTACTTATGTGTACTAAATTGTACTAAATTTGGTATTGATATTTGGCAAATTGGAATTGTGGTGAGCCTATGGCGCTGTAATTCTGAAATTTGGAATGACAGTCACTGATTGAGTACAGAATAGCTGCACCAAAGGGTTATTGGCGATTCGAACATTAAATTTAGGCAATGTTCTAAAATGTTACTAAACTTCCAAAATGCTACCATTTGGCAATATATGTGAACGGATAGAGCTAAAAACTTGAAATTTGTTATGAGAATCAAGGTCAGAATGTAAGTTTGATATATGAACATGGTTTTAGAAATGAGTACTAAGTGTGCGAGATGTACTAAATATGTAACAGTTTGGTGTAAGGTGAACGAAAGAAGCTGGCATTTTTGAAATTTTGTGTTGGGGTACCTGTTGGTGATGGGTTTGTGATAAGGAGGATGTTTTAAATGTACTACAAATACATGAAAAGTACTAAATAGTACTACATAGTACAAATTTGGAATTAGGTTTTGGAATTAGGTTTTCGGCTCATGTATGTATGATGGTAGTTTTGAAATTGTGTACTAATTGTGCTGAATGGTACTAAATTTGGACCAGTAAGGATGAATGGATAAAGCTGGAACTTTTACATTTTGTGTTGGGGTCCCTGTTGGTGGTAGGTTTGTGTAAAGATGTTGGTCGACATTCATGTGTGGCCTAGACACATGTATGCAGTTTCGAAAATGTGTACTATAATTGCACGAAAAGTACTGAATGGTATTGAGTGAAGGGATAAAATTCTGAAATTTGAGATTTTAAGGTTACTGATGGTATATATACATGAGATTTGGATATACGTCCCATATTTGTACGAAATGTACTAAATGGTATAAAATCTGGTAAGGTCACCATCTATATTTGAGATATGGCCATTGGTTTAGAATTGTGTACTATTATTGTACTAAAGTACTAAATAGTAATAATAACTGTTGGTGTCAAGGATTGAGATGTGGAAAGAAAAGTACTAAATGTCACTAAATTTTGGTATTGAGTTGCTGTATAGAGCTAGAATCCTGAAATTCGATATTGAGGTCTCTGTTGGTATCTGGAATTGAGGTATATATGTGGTTTTGGGAATGTGTACTATAATTGTACGAAAAGTACTAAACAGTACTAAGTTTGGTATTGGTGATTGATTGAGTTGAAATCCTGAATTGACCACTATTGGTGTCTGTGGTTGAAAGAAGGAGCTCCTTTATTGTGCTAAATGGTACTACATTTTCTGATGCGGAAATTAAAGAGATGGAATACTACAATTTGATATTTAGGTCTCTGCTGGTATTTGGGATTGAGATATGAAAGCGGTTCTGAAATTGCGTACTCATGTATACGAAGATAACTAAATAGTACTAAATTTGGTACTGGATGAAGAAATAGAGCTGGAATCCCAAAATGTGATATAGATGTCACAGTTGGTGTTTGTGGTTAAAAGAAGGAGTTTTGGAAATATGTACTATACATTTTCGAATAGTGGTAGTGGTACTAAATTGGGCATTGCCTGAAAGGATAGAGCTGGAATCCCAAAATTTGATATTGAGGTCTTTGTTGGTATCTGAGGTTGAGATGTGGAGATTGTTTTGAAAATGCACACGATAATTGATATTAAAGTCACTTTTGGTGTCTGTAGTTAAGGAATGGAGATGGATTTGAAATTAGCTGCTAAATTTGGTATTGGATAAAGGCATATTGCTGAAATCCTGACATTTGATATGAATGTCACCGTTTCTGTCGATAGTTGAGAGAAGGAGGTGATTTTGGAAATGGGTAGTATAAACGTACGAAAAATGCAGAATACCACAAAATGTGCCGGTAGGGCTTGGGATAGAGATGAAATTCTGAAATTTGATATTGAGGACCTATTTTTGATTTGAGGACCTATTTCTGAAATATAAAAATTGAATGTGGGTCCATCATGCAATGGTTTTACTAATATCCTTCTCGGAAAACATCCAAATGAAACATTTTGAAGCATTTTTGGTGTAAAAGGTAAAAATTGTCCTACTATTCTTTTCGAAAAGGGATACTTGTTGAACAACATATAGAACCTTGAAAGTATGAAAATTTAGCATGAAGCATGCAGTTTTGATTGAAAAAAATTGTATTGCACTGAGCACTGTTGGAACGAATCTGATGAGGACTTTTCGCTGCTGAAGTAACGAACCATAAATATAAGGAGTCCATGGAATCTTAATCAGAAAATAAACATGTATAAAAGAAGCTAAGTTCGGCCGGGCAGAATTTGAAAGGAATTTGAAAATTAAAAAATTCTGAAAAATGCCGCTTAAATGAAAACCGTTACATGGGGGCTATACGAAGACGTCGATCTGCATAGACAATTTTCTGTTATAGGCCTTAGTACCCATTACGAACTTTAAATACGAAATTTGAAACTAATAATACTGAGGAATAATGTCTCTAAAATTATAAAAATACCGAATATTGGGAGGTACCGTTATATGGCAGATACACGAAACTGTGGCCGGCGTATGTAATTTATTGACATAGACTGTAGTACCCATTAAGACCTTCAAAAACGAAACAACTCCTGTGAAAAATGTCGCTAATATCATAAAAATATCGAATATAGGGAGGTACCTTTATATGGGCGCTATTCGAAAGCGTGGACCTGACATGAACCATTTGCAAACTTAACCGGCCAACTGGCAAAATATACTTTTGTGCAAAATTTTAGAATTATATCTCAATTCGTTCGAAAGATAGCGAGTTACAACAAGCAGATAGACGGACATCGCTAAATCGACTTCAAATTTTACGCTGATTTATAAACTTTGTTGGGTCTGACATGAGTATTTCGAGGAGTTACAAACTGATAAGAGGAGGGTATAAAAAAGGTAAGATGAGGGTACTTTTTAGGTTACTCTGCAATATTAACTTTAAAAACGCTGATACACTTTTAGCTGTGAATTTCGGCGCATACAATTAATGTAAAAGTCGATTTTGTTTTCGAGTTTTTTTTTTTGACAATCTACTATTAAACTTCATTAATTTAATGTTCATTACCATTTTAATACTTTCCAATCCTCCTATTTTCTCTCGTATTGTCCTAATTCCCATTTTTTTGCCAAATGGCTAGCTAACCTACATTTGAAAAGCTTTTCCAATTTAAATATTTAAACGGAAAATATTACTAATGGCGTTTTTTGTGCTCTTTAAACCCTCTTAAATACACCGATAACAGACCCAAACAACATTATGTCCATTTTCAAATGATAATTGGATATTAGTTTTACAATCAGATTATGGTCGACAACAGCAGTCGCCGGTTACAGCGGCGAAAGTAAGTGCGAACGCCAAAGCGAACTTTTTGTAAAAATGATTTATGGCGGGCGCATCATTACTCAGCGAAATTAATTTGCGTTGTCAGGATGATGATGGCAACAATAAAAACAACAGCGAAAACGAAAACAACAAAATGAATTCAAAATATTTGTTTGTTATTTTCCTAATTGAATTTTTCAAATAATAAAATTACAATCATTACACATTCAAACAAACAAACAAACAGGAGGAGGATAAAAAGTAATTACCTTTTTTGTTATCTGGTGTTGCTTTGTTCTCTATGATTGCCGCCAATGCAGATCATTCAGCATTCAGTTGTATTGGTCAGGTAAATTTTAAACGTGGACACACACACATATACATACATTGATAGACAATAATCTGTAAGAGAGAAAAGAAAAAAATGTCATTAGTGGGAGAACAAAAATCATTTTTTTCGATTGCAATTAAATTAATTTGAAAATAATGTTTCCGAATCCTTTCGCCGAGCTTAAAGGGAATTGTAATAAAAAAACTCAAATACAGCAATGTATAAAAAACACTTGAAACGAAAACAAGTACAATAAATATATCCCCATCGAAAAATGGAAAATTGTTCATCCCTGCAGGACCAACGGTTTGAACAGCAGAAACTTTTTCAACAAAAAAAACTTTCGCTCTCTATTAAAACACCCACACGTACACCCAGATAAAAACACTCACTCATAACGATATTTTCCCAAATTGTGAAAACATAGCATGAATTCGTAATAACTTGTTTATTAGTATTTATATTTGTTTAGGGTTGCCATGGCGGCCATTTAAAGGGGAGATCATAATGAAAAAAATATTAGTTTTTCTATTTTTAGTATTTTTATACCCTCAGCCATGTGGCTAGAGAGGGTATTTATCATTTGATACGGCCACGACGTGCCTCATCGAAATAACGGTTGTAGCCTAGGTCTCTTTGGACCAAATCTGTTTCAAGACATTTGGAGTCGATCTAAGGGTGTCGGTCCCTCCTTCCGTCTATCTGGCTTGAGCGCACGCTAACTCTCAAAAAGAGTATCCGATTTGGTCCAAACATGGTACATCGTAATATTATCATCAAGCATAGATCGAGTTCGGAGATGTGCAATATCGGTTCACTCCTTCTGGTATATTCCCCACAAAGGTCGAAAAATATTTTACTGAACCGAAAAGAAAGGATAATTTGATTTTGTTCCAACTTTACAGGTCCTGATATTTGGATCAGCGCTAAATCAGGTGCGAAAATGGAAAATATCAGTCCACTCCATAAAGTACCTCCCCCAGAAAGGATCATGACATATGTGAAAGGCTGAACCCCTATTTCGGGGAGCTTACCGCATATTTCTACGCGAGGAATATAAAAATATACACCACGAAATCAAAGGCCACACTCTTTATCACATGGTCTGCGGAGATGAGAACACAGCGGAATGTGCAGGGGAATTAAATACTGACCACGAACTACCCCTAGATTTTAGGGGTCACATTCGACAGCATGTTTAAGTCGTTCCCGCAAGCAAAAGCTATCTGCGCCAAGATGAAAAGTAGGAACAGGGTCCTCAAGGCGCTAGCCGGCAGCATTTGGGGTGCGGACAAGGAAACCTTGTTGACCTCTTATAAAGCGATAGGTCGGTCTGTGGTCAACTATGCGCCTCCAGTGTGCTATAAAAGAGAACCTCTAGATCAAGACAGGTCTGAGTGGCATTCATACCGACGAAGTCGTGGATGCTGTTAGCAGTTACAGAATGAATGCCGTCCTTGGAGTCCACCCCCCCCCCCCCCCCCTTTCATTCCAGCTGAAGAACGCCAGCTGCCTAGACAAATCAGGGTAGTTTTGGCGAAATTACGTTTAGGATGGTGTAGTCGTCTCAATTTGTATTGGGCACGAATTGACGAAGATGCGCGTGACATCTGCCTGGCGTGTGATACAGGCCCGCACAATACGCCGCACCTCTTTAATTGCACAGCTAAACGTACCCAACTTACTCCAGAAGATCTCTGTCTACAGCCCATTAAAGTAGCCGAATTCCACAATATTTTTATTAACCCACAGTTTGGTGTGAAAATGGGCAAAAACGGTCCATTCCTTCTGGTGCCTCCCCCACAAAAGGTCGAAGTGATAAACAAAAAAAAAATACAGAAAGAAAAAGGATATTTCGATTTTGCCTTAACTTTGCAAAATCCTAATATTTGCATCTGTGTTATGTCAGGTGTGAAAATGGACAATATCGGTCAATTACATCATGTACCTCCCCCCAAAGGGTAAAGATTTTGAATAATTATAACTCATAAATATGTGCTGTAAGAGTACGATTGCCTTCCAATTACACATATAAATAATTTTATTAACCCAAGGTCTGCTGTGAAAATGGCATATATCGGGTACGCCCCCCACAAAGGATCAAGACGCATAAGACGCAAAATTTACATTCCGTTCAGACTCAATATTTCTATCAACACAAGATATGTTATAAAGATGGAAGAGATCGGACTATTCCTTCTGGTACCTCCCCCACAAAGGATCAAGGATTTTGAATAACCACGTCGACCATAAAATCCGAAATAGGCATCCGTCTTTCTTCATTTTCCACACCACCCATTATTTCTACTTACGCAAGATCTGCTGTGAAGATGGGATACATCGGTTCACTCCTTCTGGTGCCTTCCTCACAAAAGGGTCAATATTTTGAATACCTATTAAGCTCATAGGACGTGAAAATAACATCCGATTCCATTCTCCACATCGCAATATTTCTATCAACACAATATCTGCAAAGAAGATGGTAGAGATCGGACCATTTCTTCTGGTGCCTCCCCCACAAAGGGTCAAAGTTTTGAATAAACAAAACGGTCAAAAAATCTGATATAGGTATAGGGTACTCTTCATATTTCACACATTCCACTATTTCTAATAAGACAAGAACTAGTTTGAAGATGGAATATATCGGTTCACTCCTTCTGGTATAAAGGGTCCAAATTTTGAATGCCCTTGAAGCCCAAAAAAGGCGAAACTAACATTCTATTTCATTCAGACTTGGTACATCTCAATATTTTCATTAACACAATATCTGTTATGAAGATGGAAGAGATCAGATCATTCCTTCTGGTACCTCCCCCAAAAAGGGTCAAAGTTTTGAACAACCAAAACGATTATAAAATCCGAAATAAGCATCCAGTTCTCTTCAATTTCATTTCACACATTCATTAATTTCTACTAACACAAGATCTTCCGTGAAGATGGGATATATCTGCCCACTCCTTCCGGTACCTTCCCCAAAACGGGTCAAAATTTTGAATATCCATGAAGCTCATAAAAGGCGACATTAACATCCGATTCCATTCAAACTTGGAACATCTCAATATTTCCATCAACACAAGATCTGCCATAAGGATGGTAGAGATCGGGCCATTCCTCCTCATACCTCCCCCACATAGGCTTCAAGATTTTGAAAAACAAAACGCACAGAGAGAGCGAAATAAGCATCGAACTGTCTTCAAATTTCACCCATACAAACATTTTGGCTTACACAAAGAACCCTTTCTGGTACCTCACCCACAAAGGATCACAATTTTCAATACTTTTATCTGTCATAACTTGCGAAACGAGACAGTGATTCTTTACAACTTAAGCTATATTTAAATATTTTTATAAATTTTAGATTTTCCTGTAATTTTGCCCAGACGGATATTTTTGTCTGTATTAGATGAAGTATGAAAATGGTATACTTCCGTCGACAATATCTGGTACATCTGGCATATTTTAACATTTTCTAAAATCATCACATATCTCATATGAGAAGGAAGTAACCAATATTGTCCAATATTTATATAGGTCCGATACGAAACGGACAATATTGGCCTATTCCTTCGGAACCCACTCCATAGAGACTCAACAATTTGAATAATCATAACAGAAGTCAAAATTTATTTAAATAATCGAACATTGGCAGAGGGTATACATGTGTCGGCAAAACCGGCTGATACGTTTAAACTTGTTAATTTTGTCTAACTTTTTACTCGCTTGTGCTTAGTTTTAAGAAGTTGAACTTTATTGGAAACCACAAGCTATAAATTAATGCCACAATTAAAAACTTATGGCTGAAATGGGAAACCTCAACTGTCAACCCAAACCAGCTGCCACTCCTGACATAGAGACATTTTAGTGTACAATAGTAAATTTGTATTCTGTAAATTCTGTATTTTAAAACGAGCATATTGCCCATTGATTTCGACACTACTATTTTCTGGAAATTTGAAAAATAACATTTCCATCTCTGTACCGTGGCTATTATTCCGCTTTAAAGTAAGAGTGGAACTCAAGTGACATTATTTTCAAAGTTTCTTTTTTCCCCATTTTTGGTGTTCCAATTTGCTGACACAGCACCAGGAATTTGCTCTCGTTGTTGTCCCCCTCCCAGCTGTTTGTTTTTGCTGCAGTGAAAGTGTAAACTTTATATGATATAAGTTCCGAGGAATTTTTCCACGCTTTAACAAAACTTTTTTTCTTTACGCAGATGAAACCAAAAGGAAAAAGTTATTGGAAAAGCTGCTGTGCATAAATGATGGTGTGAAGTGAACAACAAACTATTTAAATAGCATCGCATCACTCCCTATGAGCAATGGAAGAATATATGGTGGAACAGGAAAGGAGGGGATGAATAGTGTACTGCAAAGTGGATATGGGGATTCCAGAAGGAAAGGTATTTTTATAAACCAAAAAATTTAGGTTAATTAATATCCTATAAGGATCAATGAATTAATAAAGAAAAGTGACATTTCCTTGGATGGAATTATCAATACCACAGGGAAATAGGTATACCAAAATAAGAAACCTGAAAATAGGGCTATAAGCATTTAGAGAAATGAAGAACTATCAGAGCAATATACGAGATCTTTTTTTAAATATTTACTCAAGGACCCACCGACCGAATAAATCTGGATTTTTTCAAATATTTCTTCACAGACCAATGGACTACTTAACCTAGGATTTTTAAGACTATTATTAAGCTATAAACGTTGTTTTTTAAGCTTATTTGTCAAGGGTTATCAGAGCCATTAAGGTGGATTTCTATGTTAATAGAAAAGACGACAAAATGACGAAAATAGCATCAAATTGTAGAATAAGTTTAGATTTGTTCGAATTGACCATCTTTGGCACGAATTTTGGCTTTCAAACGGCCAATGAAACCGTCACACGCTGCCCGAATGTTTCTCTGCGGTAGTTTGGCCCATTCCTGGCGAAGCGCTTGCTTGAGGTGATCGAATAAACAAAACTATCTTAAAATCTGACTTGGTACATCTCAAGACATGCATCAACACGAGATGTTATAAAAATGGTAGAGATTGCACCTTGCCTTCTGGTATTTCCTCCA